GGGGTCCGGGGGGATGCTCCCCCGGGAAATTTAGGATTTTTAAGCCTTCTTAAACGCAATTTCCCGCATTTTGAGAGGCAAATCGTGTTGAGAGTGTTTGTCGGTCCTTCTGATGTTTTCATATTTTACTCAAGATTTTTGTTAAGTTGCCTGTCAAGGTTGACAACCCTTTAAAAAATTCTGTAACTCTCCGCAAACTTCCGGAAATTAACGGGAAAGCTGTTTCTGGCTAGAGCCGAAGGGACCTATAGCACAGAAGCGCGAGTCGAGCGCCAAAGGCGCGAGCAATGTAGGGGGGTCCGGGGGCGTTCTCTCCCGGAAAATTTTGTATTTTTAAACCTTCAAAGACGCATTTTCCTGCACTTTGAAAGGCAAAATTAGGCGTAACGAAGAATTATTCATTAACGCTTAATGCTGAATTTAGGATGACAAATAACGTTTTACGTTGAATTAAAACGACCAATAACGCTTCACGATGAATATACTGATAACGCTTAACGTTGAATTAGAGCGAGCTGGCAACGATTAACGGTAAATTAAAATAGCCCATAACGGTTAACGAAAAAGGGCATGCAGACCCTCTGACAGGGATCATAACATTAACCACATGTTCATGACAATCCATCCAGAGATTCATGAAATATATATGGCACTAAAAGCATATCTCTATTATCTGAACATCCAGAAACGTAACTTTCAATAGCTAAGGCGAAGGTAAGTATTTTGCTAGCTGCTTTCAGTGCCATCTACCTACTCAAAGATCCTAAAAAGACTATATGGACCAAGGATCGTGAGGTTAGGCCACAGCAAGTACATTTTATGGATGACATCCTCTGCAGGCTCCAAATCTAATGCGAGCGGGCGAAATAAAACAAGGCGGGCCGAAAAAACAAGGTTCCTACATTTTAAAATTTTGACTCAATCATTTATACAAATAGTTTTTATTCAGTGGGAACATCACATATACACAGCCAACATCACATATCACTGCATCAAAGTAAGAAACGAAACATTAAATCAGAGCCTTGTCTTGTCTCCTCTCTTCATAGTTATCTGCCATCCACCCTCCGGCATGGCAACAGACATCTTTGCCCATTTTCGGCATGTTGACCTCTGTCAGAACTCAGAAGGCAACAAAATTTCTTTTTTTTTTCCAAAGTCAGGCGAAAATCAATGCGCTTGCTGATGTCATCCATAAAAATTACTTGCTGTGGCCTTATGGGTAACGCAGGGGAAAAATCATTACCATGACAACGCGTATGCGGCGCATGCGTACTGTTTCCGGTCTAATAACTATCCAGGAGTTGCTCAAGAAAACAGTTTTCTCAAGGAACTTGTTAGAGTTCAAAATCTAGTTGCAAAGTAATCGTTTTCTTGCGTATCTCATTTATGTCTAACCTTCATCGGCGTAGCCAAGAGTTAATGTCAGGTGATGTCATCCTTATTACCTTTGTTCTTTGAAGAACCGTAACTTCTGAAGAACCGTAATCGTAAATCGAATTACACTTAAAGACACCCAATTACGGCCAATGCGATTTCAGAGCAGCAAAACTGGAAATATTCTGAAGAAGGCAATTTTATGATATTGACACATACTGCTTCCCACTAGCACATATCAATCAGTATTTCATACTTTGGGTATTTCTAAAAGACTGTAGAAACAAGCCCCAAGATGAGTCCTTTATTTTCTGGGTGGTACCCTAAAATCGTCCAAGGACCCTTCCGGTATTATACCATTTTCTGCCGGAATTTTGGATATTTTGCTCCATGTGGGTCAACATACATTGGGATGGTGTAGAACATCTCAGATATTAGAAATGTAGAATATTGAGTTTTAAAAAATCGGGTTCCGAAGCCATAAAAACTGCATTTGAATGCCTTTAAAGTACGTATCAATACAGCGCCGAGGTATCCAGGGTACTGTGATCGCTAAGTCCAGTATGCTGAAGGTCATTGTTGAAGAGCGGTACAACCCTGACCTAGATTTAGATGACCATGTCGGCCAGATTTTCACATTCTTAGGGCTTCCCGCGGTCCTCCTCCCGCCAAGTGCAATGTCAATGTGAGGTCGTGTGCTGTAACGGCAGCGTGCTCGACTCGGAACCAAGAGGTCCCGGGTTCGAGTCCTGACATGCCACCGATCTTGTGCCCTTGGGAAAGGCATTTTACACGACTTTCCTCACTTTGTTCAGGTGAAAACGAGTATTGTCCCCAGTGTTGGTGGCGGCATTAATATAAGTTGAAAAAACTTGAGTGTGCCGTCACCACGTCTTGTGATTACATGTTGAAATATAGAAAAAGTGCAATGCCAATAGTTAGAGCACTGCTAGGTCCCCACAGCCAATAGGGATCCTGGATTTTTAGTGATTATATCCACATAGTAGCATACTTGTGAGTTAGTGCACCTCTCTCCCTTGGGGTAGAGGTGCACTGACTAACCAGCCACCCTCTTCTCAGCCAACCAGTGAGCTGGAATTGGTCCCTCTCTAGGGACAGAGGTGCTCTAACTAACCGAATAAATTACACTATGTTGGACCCGCCCATTGTTATTTCCATGGAAACAACAACTGGCCAATGGCAGTGTCCAGCTTTCTGCCCTGGGGAATCAGAGGAGACTGACCGGCTCATCACCACACATGGTTTGACTCTTCTTGGAGTTGTTTGGCTGTCCATCTGAGCTGATTAACGACCTAGCGGTCGTTAATCAGCCCAGATGGACAACCAAACAACTCCTCGAAACAAGACAAAAAGTGACACTAAACAAAGATTT